AACTCATCAATGCAGAAAAGCACTCAGATACCGTGCAGAAAGACCTGGATATTGTTGAGGCCAGGGGTAACAGAAACAAGTTAGAGCTCAATGCTATAAGTGCAGGACACCGTACTTCGGGGGCTGATTCAGGACAACCAGTGTTACTCATTTGGAACCTCCTTTTAGTCTATCGCAGGATTCCTCTGAACCACAAAGTGATGTCACTGTGAAAAAGGCACACACCTCTCTGAGCTACAGCTGTGGGCACCTCGAAGGTTAAGAAATACTAAGTAGGAATTTTGAAGATGTATGAAACATCTGATGTATGAAACTTTCAGTGTAGTTAAATTGCAGGTAAGTTCTGGTAGGATCCTCTGTGTCAGGTGGACTGAATTGCCCCATCACCTTACCGTCCCCATAATCTGGTTCTTACTCCTTCAGGAGACTGAAAGTTGATGTCACATGTGAAAAGATGGTCTTTATAAGGACTTACAAGACACTCCACAGAGGTTCAAGAAAATAATTTCCACATGTTAATCATTTAGGAAGCCAAAATGAGAACCTCAGAAAAACTTGAGAAGCTGCAACCAGCATGTTGTTGTGGTTGCTGCTGAGCTTTTGAGAGCCGTTTCCCTGCTAGGACAACCCGTATTTGAATTATACATCTCAAAGAAAGAGCAAAAATGGAAGACAGTTTTAATGTAATAGAAGGTTATTTGGACGCCATGTCCAAAGTCTGACTGGATGGATGATATTTTTGTTATGATTATTCTTGTTCTCATTATAAGGTTAAACTTCTCATCAAATTCTGAAGAAATCCTGTGGACTGACAAGGAAGGACTTCCCCAACACTATCAACAGAGCAAGGAAGGGGGTTAGGTAAAGCCCTTAGTGAAAATATTGCAGTGACTGGCATCAACACACATATGACACAACAAAGATGAATTAATTCATTTCAAGGTGGACCTTTCTCAGCCTCACTCCTCTTCTGCCAGCTTCTTGCACCTGTGCTGACTTTTCTTTTGTTCAGCTTTTCTTTCTGATCGTTTCACCATACGTGTGGGCTACAGGCATATGTCTCCTGGCTCTCTGAGCTGGCAGAGTATCTCACTTGCATCTCAGTAATCAAAGCAGATTTAGAAGCTATCAGGTGGGCTTCTCCCTCTGAAACCCTCTCAGTGACAGTGCCATAGATTGGTTGCTTTCAGGAAGACGGCTGCTGCCAGTGAAAGCTTTGATAATAGAAACAGCAGCTGAAATTTAAACTTAGACATTTCTATTACTCAGAGGAAAATGTGCAGTCGCAGAAGGGTTTCTCATCATCTGAAATTTCAGACTGCTGTGGGGCCCATTTCTCATAGCCACAACAGCTTACTTCAGAGTAGTTTTGTGACTTGCACAGAAGAGCCCAGCATTGGTACAGGAGCTGCAAGCTGAGCTGATCATCACCCTAAAATACCCTATCGGGATCAACAACTTTGTGGTTCTGCTTGAGACCAGCCTCCCTTTAGTCCTTCCATCATGACAGATGGGTCTGGACTGATGTGAGCAGACGATGAACAGAGTGTGGTCCAGGACCTGCAACCGGCAGAGAAAGTGTAAAGGATGTGTAAGGATTGTGTAGATTTACCTTGCCATGCGCTTGAGAGGCATGCATACATATACTCCCTGTTTATGCATCTCCTTTTTCCTCTTCTCCCACGCTATTGCACCAAAATCTACAGGCATGAGGAGGAAGGAAGGTTCTGACAATGTTGCCAAAGGGCTGCTAAAATTCCAGGTCAGCCAACAACTTTAAAGCGAAGCAGGGTACATTGTCTTCTCCTGAGAAGTAAATATACATACACATTCTCTTTGTACATGCTAAAATATTTAAATATGTAAAAATATGGATTATAATTAGGGGAAGGTAGAATAGATTTGAATGTTTAGTGTACCCTTGGTAGTTCTTGTTTCATTTCTGTATGATGCCCTCCACACACAAAGATACTTCACCGTAATTGTGCCCTTTCAGTGCAATCATGTAAATTTTACTCTTGTTCACATTGTTGCTTTGCGAGCTCTGCCGTGGTTATCACGGCCATCCTGGAGGGAGGAATGTCAGGACCGCTGCGGAGTGTGGGCTTGCAGGGTTAAAGCTTCTGGGACTGTGTGGAAGTTTATTCCTCAGAGTCCCGCAGGGCTGCCCTCGATGCAAAGGTTAGCACGCCGTAATGCTCACAACTCTATATCCAGGGAACTGGGATTTCACACTGACCCACAGGTGCAATAATACCTTGTGTGGGAGGCTACGTGCCGATCAAGAGAGTTTTTTGTGGGTCCAGAGATCACACGTCTTTGGAATGGGCACCATTAAAAATGACAGATCTTTGAATCGTTTGGGATCTGCGTTCTCACGGCTCTGTTCCTTATGGAGGCATTTACAGCTGCACAAATTTGTTAGGGTTTTGCAGGAAAGCAAATGCAAAGCTCATTACACTATTATCATTTCTGCCGTTGAGCTTCTTCCTATTTTTGTTTATTTATTATGCCAATGTATTTGGAGTCTTTGAGTTGGAACTCCCTTGCACGCACACATTTTCCTCTCTAGAAATTTGATAAAATTGTTTGCTGGATATATGAATTTGCTTCTTGTTTGGACCTTTTCAGCAGTAGACCCCTCAGGCCTGCAGACAAAGGTTGAAAACCATTGATCAGGGCTATGCACAGGGGAACGGCAGTGACCTGCAGCAGCTGTTTGTCAAAGTCTGGAAAACACTAGCGACAAAGCTAATTAATACATTTCGCAACCCCGTGCCTTCTATTTAATGCACATGCTAGCAGTGAAATGTATTATTCCGCTGAAATCCAAATACCTCGTGGTAATGTGACAATGTTACTCTAACATTTATTGAAAATTTCATGGAAAGATACAGTGTGAAAACAGTATTTTAGTTTGCTTCCTACTGGGTTTTGTTTCCTCCAATTTTGTTTCACTGTGAATCCTCAGTGTTTACATTATGTATGATAATGTTTCGATATTATTGGAACAGTTTGAAGAAGTTTTCTTAATATTTTCAAATCAACTTTTATTCATAATGTTCCATTTGACTAAAATGCCTATTTTTCTACATTAGTTCTCTCCCTCATGACTCTAATAGAACTCACTAAATGTCCAAGTCCACGCTTACTTGCTGTACAGCATAAAATGGATGGCTACCTGTTCCGTCTACAAATATACACACCAGCTCCTACATGGAGACATTGTGCAGCTAAATAGAAATCCATATTTCTATAATTTTAAGGTACAGTCAGATGTAAAAATCCCAAACCCTCCATGCTCTATGCCACAGTTTAGCTTGCAATTGTGAACATTGCTTTTTATCTTGAGGAAGGTGGGATACAGTGGTGCAACATACACACGTGCACGCGCACACACACACACGTGAGCGCGCGCACTTCCAGGCCTCATGGACACTTACATGCAAAGTTTCAACAAAATTTTTGCTTTGTACTGTGAAGGAAAAATCTGAGAGTTTTTAAGATTGTGACCCTCTGTCAGATGTAGCAGAAAGGTATGGATATCTTTAAAAGTCAAAACCAAAACAAACCAAAACAAAACCTCCAGAAATACATGCATTTATACACTATTAAATGCATTTATACTAGTCAGTATTTGCAGATTGGCTCATACTAAGAAACCCATCTACTATACTCATATTTCACTTTTCAAGTGTACGCTGCTTGTAGGTTTAACTAATACAACGATGCTGGGAATAGAAAAGGACTTCAAAGAAAAGAATAGATATTATCCACGCTACCCACACTGATCCACAGGCCATTTCAATAAAAGTATTCTTTAAAAAAGATGCAAAAAAGTCCCTAAAGTATTTACCAAAAATTTCAGGTGTCTTTTTTTGTTACCTAAGTATCTCTTTGGACAGTGGAGCTTGATGATGAAGTTTTCTGACCCCTTGCCCTTCAGCTCCCCAAGGCAATGGTCAATGTCTAAGACCTGCTGATGAGCAGATACACTAACACTGTAAGATTTCCGCAACGAGGCAGGAGAAATTAACATTTAGCAGCCAATTTGTGTCTACCTCCTGATACAGAGTCCTTCCTTGGGGCTTTTTTAGGACAGGTCTTCTCTAAGGACAGTTTTGCTTCAAAACTTTCTTCCCCTCAACTGAGAGATTGGGGATCCCTCCTGACAGATGGATCTGAAACAGGAGCTTTGATCCACTGCGCGCTTAACTCCGTGGGTCTCAGCCAGCATCAGAGGATGCTGGATCAAGGCTGGAGGGTCTGGAAAACATTACCCAGATATGGTGAGTGGACCCAAGAGATAAAGCTGGTAGAAAGGGGATAGGGGGAGAAGGAGAGAAGGAAAAGCTTTCCCGTGAAGATTTTTCTTCTCTGTTTTACACCGACACTTTGAACCACGCAGAATTTTTCAGCCTTTACTACTGGGTGCTCTGGGGAAAACAAAAATCTGCCATGTCACACCAAAGAACAGGTAAATAACTGTTTTTGCTGTCTGAACACATACGATTACATATCTTCTCTCTTTTTCTGGTGCCTTGTCATATCAACTTCTGCCTTGCTGTATTTTTAAGAGAACTACCTGGCCCTCGATCCTTGCTGCACAAATCAAACCAAGCCATTGATCATTTTTGCACACCGAGAAAATCACCTGTCATAGTCAGAGGACCTAAGATCTTTTCTGTAACATTCCCATGATTCAGCTGAAAGAAAAAAAAACCCCAACAAACAGTCTCCTGTGTGAGAAAGGGTTTAATTGCTCTGGTTAGAAGAATTAATCTAGGCAAGCACAAGGAATACAAAGAAAGGGAATGCCTCTTGTTGGAGACTGAATTTTGCTCTTGGATATGTACCTGTAACTTCTTCTGAAGTTAACAACATATCAAAGGCAGGATTAGGCCATAGGACATTTGCATCACGAGCCATGGATCCAGATCAAGTGTGGGAGCAAAGACCATCTGAATAAGCTGGAACTAACAAATATTTTAGTTGCCTACCTGCTCCATTTCTGTAAAGGTGCTCTGCTCCTCATCTTCCTCCTCGATATCTGACTCTCCCACAGCAATAGGAACACAAATGGACAGTTCAGGATTGGTCATAAAATCATCATTGTCTGTAATTCCTAGGTGTTTCTCCCCATTTTTATTCATCCCATCCTCAGCATGGTTGTCTTTGTGATTCTCCATGTCTTTGCCAAGCTCAGTGGTTGTGTGACTGTTCACACAATTGTTAAGGGCACCTGTATTCTGGGCAGCAAGCTTCATCATTGCCTTCTTTTCAGCCGTTGTCTTGGGGTGCCGGAGGACATTGCAGCAAAAATCCCACGTTGTGTGTTTCACATACTGAAGACCCCTGTTGATCCGAGCAAAAGCAAGCTGCAGATTGTTCATCTCCCCATCCTCATCTGGTGCCGAGAGGTTGTCAGCGCTGAAAGAGCTTAGCAGCAAGGCAAGGAACAGGTTGAGCACCTGAAACGAATGAAGATAAAAGGAAATCAATGGCCCTTAAGTGTGGAGGATGAATGTTGTCTTGGAAGTAGGAGGGTCTGAGTCTCATCTCATCTGTGCCACCATAACACAACCAGCGTACATAGAAATACTTCTAATTATAGGTGGTGTCAGTAGGAAAAGAAGGTCTGCAGACATTTCTAAACACATTAATTTCAGGTGCAGAAGTATAGCATGGACAATAACATACTCTGACATTCTCTTTCCCCCTCCAACACCCCAAAACAGAAAAGAAAACATAAAAGAAAACAGAAAAGAAAATATAAAGTTCAGAAACAGAATATAAGATAAAAATTTCATTGGAAGCTACATAGTCTAAATATTCTCATAAGTGGTGATATAATGAATTTCCTGTAATTACCAGTATTCCATCTTGATGAAAATCACTAATTTCAACACTAATTGACATCCAGAAAGGTACTTACATGTAGAAAAAGACTATAGGAAGAATGTTTTCAGGACCTTTTCAGTTTTTACTCAGTGTGAATATTGTGACCTGGACAAGCTCGAGAAGTGGGCCCATGTGAACCTCATGAGGTTCAACAAGGTGAAGTGCAAAGTCCTGCATCTGGGCTGGGGCAACTCCTGGTATCAATACAGGCTGAGGGATGAAGGATTGAGAGCAGACCTGCAGAGAAGGACTTGGGGGTGTTGGCGGATGAAAAGCTGAACATGACCTGGCAATGTGAGCTTGCAGCCCAGAAAGCCAACCGTATCTTTGGCTGCATCAAAAGAGGTGTGACTGGAAGGTCGAAGGAGGTGATTCCGCCCCTCCACTCCACTCTTGTGAGACCCCACTTGCAGTACGGCATCCAGCTCTGGGATCCCCAACATAAGAAGGACATGGAGCTGTTGGAGCGAGCCCAGAGGAGGCCACAAAGATGATCCAAGGGCTGGAGCACCTCTCCTGTGAAGACAGGCTGAGACGGTTGGGGTTGTTCAGCCTGGACAAGATAAGGCTCCAGGGAGACCTTATAGCACCTTTCAGTACCTAAAGGGGCCTACAGGAAAGCTGGAGAGGGACTGTTTACAAGGGCATGGAGTGATAGAACAACAGGTAATGGGTTTAAACTAAAAGAGGGTAGATTCAGACTAGATACAAGGCAGAAATTTTTTATGATGAGGATGGTGAGGCACTGGAATAGTTTGCCCAGAGAGGTGGTAGATGCCCCATCCCTGGAAGTGTTCAAGGCCAGGTTGGATGGGGCTTTGGGCAACGTGGTCTAATTGAAGATGTCCCTGCTCACTTCTGGGGGGTTGGACTAGATGACCTTTAAAGGTCCCTTCTAACCCAAACTATCCTATGATCCTATGATAATGCTATACACATGCATGGCACTTAAACCAAATAGTACATTTGGAAACATTTCTAAACATTTCTATGTATTTTCACAGATAGTCTTGATTTAAATATCCTCTGGGCCATGAAGAAAATCTGTTGTGACTCTGAATAAACACCTAAGAAGTCCTATAGCTTCAAAAACTTTTCCCTCCAGGCAGAAACAAGCCATCACAACCAGGGTTAATGTGGCCAAATCTGAGCAGGGCTCACCCCCAAAGCAGGCTTGGTCTTGGAAATGCTGCTAATAGTCAGGAAAAAATATTCAAAGATTTTTCACAGGTATATGATAAGATTGAAATTGGCTTCTTCTTCTTCCTGCAACTTCAGAACTGTCTACGTTTGCTGGTATTACATGGCAAGACTAGACACAACTACACATTTGTGTGACATATTTGATAATTTAAAGCTCTTTTTACATTCTCCCCCACACCCCCCAGTAAATACAATTATATCCAATAAATAAAACCAGCTTCTTCTAGAAGGCTCTTCCCAGTAATACATCTTGCAGATTGATCACCAGATGCTGTGTATGGGACATGACACCTGCTTATGGTCTGACAAGGAATGAATGACAGCTTTTTTGCCAGATCGAACAGGGAGAAGAAGCTCACACCAGAGGTAGATGCCTGGGATGATGGGAATGCGGCAAAGGTGACTCAAACCAATATCGGCTAAAATATATTTACCCAAAATAAACTAGGACCAAATTGCCTGGTATCAACTCATCTGCTGCCTGTAGAAGGTGGGTGGGTGCCAGCTCTTTGGCACTGCAAGGGAGAGATCAGTGGTGCAGCACTTCTGCCGTTTTAGCAATAAAATGGACTTTGTGAAGGTATTTTCTCTGTGATCTATTAATGCTACCAGAAATACATGTAAGTAAGTCCCCTGTTTCCTGTCTTTCTGATAGTATTTTAAATTGATAAAGTCTGCCAGAACAACAAAAAAAAAACACAGTAGAGAAAGTACTTATATTTAATTGGACCTTACCAAAGAGCCACAAGCTTATGCTATTGTCCCCCCACCCTGTTCTCTCTTATTTCAAATATTCAGAATATATGAGCTGGAATTTTGAAAACCTTGTCTTAATCACTCTAGTGACACTGCATTTGAAGTGTCCTGTCAGGACTGTTTTGTGAAGTACTCTTTGCAATCACCATGATTATAAATGAAAGCAGCTGGTAGCACAGCAGATGCCCCTGTCCATTATGAACTACCGAATAAACTATTGCTGCACTGAGCACTACCCTGCTCTAAAGTAAAGTGAGATTAAAGCTAATTGTTTCTTAGCTGGTCCATCATATTTGAGTATCACTGACAGCTTGTGTGAGTCTCCTCTTAATCATTGTGGCGGTCTGGTACGAATCAATCTTTCATTTCGTATCCCGCTGGGAGTTATTGCAAGTGATGTTGTCTGATAGGTAGTTGTAAGCCAGAGCACTGGATATACTGCCAAGTAGGTGGGAGTCCATCAGTGAAGGAGTCACTGGTAGAATCACTTTAGCCATTTTCAACCAGGTTTGACAGAAGGAAGGGGTCTCAGAGATAACCACATTGATACAAATGTCCTGAAAATAAGCACGTGTGTAGAGAAGAGACACTGCCCAGGTCACCAGTGCAGACAGAGCTTGGAACGAGCCACAGCATATGTCTCCTTCTGAGTGGCAACCTAGTGACATGGGATGGAGCTGGAAGAAGGGAGGGGATAAAGAAATCCTGTATAAAAATATCTTCTGGATTTTATAGGTTCAATTCAGTTACCTTGAGAGGGGTGACTTCTGTTGTTTGAGGTTATCTATCTGAGACATCTGCACCAGACCTACAGAAGATGTCTGTCCTCCTAAAGCTCCAGCTATCATCCAACTAGAGCATGTCTGGGTGTTGCAGCAGGCCACAGACTGGCGGTGTTTAGGAAACTGAATGACTCTTCAAGGATGGAAGTTGCCTCCAGACTCAGACACCAAAGTGTGAGGGTCTAACAGGGCTTCTAAGCCCCATTTCAGTCAAAAGAAATTAATCATGTAGACAACAGAGCCTGACCAAGTACAGATGACCATGTTAGGGCTGCATGTGTCTGCCAATATGTAGTCATCTAGTGCCAACTGACCCTAGCATGCCCAAGTCATCCTGAAGCAACTGGCCAATAGGACACATGATTATGGGAGATCTGTGCCTAGTTGGAGGCCAGGATGGATACCTTATAGCATCCCCAGGGGTGCTAGAAAAGACTGAGTCAAGCCCTAGACCTCTGCAGACTGTAGTGGTAGCTCAGACATCTCCATACATGAATACCTCCACATAGGCACCCAAATTTTGTTAGCTTAAGCTGAATTTCATCCTGTCCTTCATTAATTCTGCTGTTCACAGAATAACTTGTTTGAAATGCCTTATTTTACTTTTCCATATTTGTTTCAGATGTCAAGCTACAGTTACATAAGTCTATCCAGATACACCTGCAGGTGTATATAATAAGTGGTAACATTCTTAGTGTTGTTATTTACCATGGATTATTAAAGCAGTGTTGTTTGCTTCCCAGAAATGCAGCTGACATTTTGCACAAAAAGCTATTTGCACTTCATGCTTTTAGCCAAAAATAAATCTCAAATATCATCCCCTCCTTCCTTTATGAGCAGGTAACCTCAGAGGTGCATTGCTGGGCGTTCAAATAGAGTGAACTGCGGTATAAGCATTTTATGTTTACTTATTCCCCCCATTTCACTGTACATTGCATTTTCCAGAAAAATATATGCTCAACCCATGACACACCACATTTCCTGTAAAAGGTTACTAATAATATCCAGTTCTCCTGGTTGCTAACGCAATGCTTTCAGTTTAAGTAAAAGCAAACTAAAGACTAATTCAGTTTTCAAAAGCAATGGCAGATTTTTATGTCCATATGAATCCCCAAAAAAAGAAATCTGCTTTCCAGTGATACTGAACAGCCAGGTCACTTTTTTGGTCTTTGAGGTTAGGAATCAAATGACAGATGCACTCAAAGAAAACCCAACTCCTTTAGCATAATAATGTTAAGCATTTACCCTAATAATGACACAGCTTTCATAGGTTTCCTCACTTTTTAATGTGTTTCCAAAGCTGGTGACTCTGGTTATGCCATTATAAGGCACAAAGGTTCAGATTCATCCAGCCTAATGCCAGGTGCCTCCCTGAGGTGCTTAACCTGGAGGACTTTTCCTGGGTTGTCTGTAGAAGATGGAGACAGTCTGGCATCCCAGGAGATGCTGAAGAGCTGAACCATCTCTGGCGGTGCCTATTGAAGCCTAGGTTAGCTTGGGTTTAGTATCTTGCAGCTAGATTAAAGTTAGAGCACTTACTGATACAGACCAAATAACTAACACAGAATCATAAAATCATAGAATATCTCAAGTTGGAAGAGACCCATAAGGATCATCAAATCTAAATCCCTGCTCCTCACAGGACTATCTAAAACTAAATCATATGATTAAGAGCGTCATCAATGACTTCTGAAACCCAGATAGGTGTTCAGAAAGTCCTTCTTGGTGTCAGTCTGGTACTCCATGCTCCAGGCCAGTGATGGCCAACCTTTATAACCAGGCAATCTTCACCAGGTTAGAGGAGAGCATGGGATGCTTCAGCCCCATCC